AGAGATCAGGAAACAGTGAGGGGGAGACCAGGGTCTGACAGTGTCAGGAGCAATGATTTAGACAGGGGTCAGCAGCATCAAACTTGATGTCAGCAATACACAGTGGACACCAGACTGGAAATGTGTTTTGCTGAGCAATGCCAATAATTTTCCTGCAGAGCAGTTTCCATAAAAAATTGTGGGGGGAGGGGGAAGGGAGGAAGCGGTTCTGTTTCAGGGTGCCTAGCATAGTTCAAGAAAAATGTAAATTTCAAGATGAGTAACAGAAACTGGTTTAATTTTAAAAAAGAACTTTTAATTTAATTAATGAACTTATTAAGATTGAAGGATTGATTCATCAGCTGAAGATTGATTCATGTTGGGTTCTGCAGCTACACCTGCTATATTAAGCATTCATTACACAAGAAACCTGCCAATGAAAACTGTAAATTACATGGAAGTACCAGTGAATTGCAGCAGCACCTGGTGGGCAAGGGGCACCAGAACATGTAAAGTGGCAAGTTGACCTGTATGCGACATGTACATATGATAGATTTGCCACGGTAAAACGAAATTTCATAGATAAATTTGCCACAGTAAAACTAAAATACATAGGGGATGGTCTAAGTCACTGAACAGTCACGGGTACAAGTGCCCTTGGGGATTAAACCCCTGTGACATGTACGAGTGCCCAAAGTGTTTAGATACACCTACATTTGGAACCCTTTCAAAAGGGGCATGTATCAAAAGGACAGTAGCAGGTTTGTTCTAATTGTTTTGTGTGAATGAGTGAAAAGGATGCAAATGTAGCAAAAGAACTTCAACTTTAACACTGCTTCATCCAAGTTTAAAGTTGGAGCAGGTTTGCTACATTTGAATTGTAATAAGTGTCCAGATTTAGTCAGCTACATGGTTGCCTAAATGCCAAAAATGTCACTTTCACACAAGTGTTCCTGGACACAAAGCCCTGTGTTCCTGGACAACCACATATGTGCTCAGACTGGGTATATGCACAGGGAACTAAATGGGAGAGAAACTTCCCATCTTTCTCCCCAGTAGCTCAGCAGCTACAGCATTCACTTTGATACCTGGAGGTCCTAGGATCTCCTTACTCAGAGGACGCTTGAACCAGGGTCTCTGATTTCCTAGCAAAGCTTGCTACCAACCCACAGGTCAGTCATTAATCCAACAGCTCCCCAGTGTCCCTTTTGAAGTGGGCCCCTTGGGCAGCCACAGGAGAGAGGTGTGCAGGAGATACTTAGGGCCAGAAAGAAGAGAGCAAGCCTAAGTGTGTGGGTCAGCTGTCCTGTAAGACAGACTTCTAACCCTTGCTCTTAGTGAGACAGATGCTTTCCCCTGCACTGCTCCCCCACCCATTTTTCCAGTGGCTATATTACTAGCTCAGCTTAAAAAGGAGCACCAAAAATTTGCCAGGATAATGGCTGACCTGTGGCACAATGGTTAGAGTGATGTACTAGGTGAATGGAGTTCCTAATTTCAAATCCTGCTGGGTCACTGGTATAAAAAGTCTATGCCCCATGTTATTGAGACAATAAACATAATTTTTAAAAATCCAGATGATTTGGTTCCCTGGAGACAACTGGCAGTGGAACACCTTGTGCTACTGCTAGTTGTCCCTGGGGAACGCCCATGCCATACACCCTCTGGCATGTGGTAAGTTACTCCAGGTGGGGTAGGGGAGGCTGGGACCAGCACAGTTGTTGGCCTCAGCAGCCTTATATGGCGTCCTGGGGGCTGGGGAAGCTGCAGCCACATTGCTCCTGCAGCTTGGAGCCTGACTGGCAGCTGGAGCATGGCTCTGGCGGGCTAGGCTCCAGTTTGGGTGGCTCATGCTGTCCCCATATGTGCTATCCTGCTTTTTTTCTGCAAGGTAGCAGTGCAGGAAAGGCCTGAATGCCTGAAAGTGTGGTATGTGTTGCTGCGGATGGGTCTGTTGCTCATCTGGACATGGCCCATCATTGTCCATGCCATTGTGACATAGGAGGGAATTCCTTCTTAATCTGAAATTTGGATATCAATATCAGTGGCTTAGGGAGACCACTGAGGACCCAATGTAGGAGGAGGGGAGGGGTGCAGCAAGGATATGCCAGCCATGGTAGATGGGGGGAAAAGGTACACAGCATACAGTGGTGTGGGTGAGAGGAAGGGACGTCTTACCTGCTTGGGTTGCTGCTGCTGTTGCCACTGCTCAGCATCAGCAGTGTCATCTGTCCCATGGCTGGGCTTCCTCAAAGCAGATCCATTCACTCCTTCTACCAAACATGCATATTGGGAGCAGGACTATGCCTGCTCTGGAAAGGTTCCTGGTGGGAGCGGAGGGGGAAAGGAAGCACCATTCTGCTTACCCCACTCACGCCCTACCCCAAGATACATTGCTGGGTGCAGCATTGTACTGCCCAGCTCCTGTGGCTTGACTGGGGCAGTTCAGAGCTTTCCCT